TCATTTCAATAATGAGTCCATCCTTTCCATCTTTAGGTAGCACAACATCTTTCATTGAAGAAGGTTCGACAAGTCTTATGTTAAACTTACTGACAAAGTTTGTTATACTATAATGCTTCGGTGGCGAATACATGTAGTTTGAAAGACATAATATAGATTCTTCAGCAAATTCACTTATACTGGATTTTATAACAATGTTCTCACGAGACCAAATACCACCAATTGACAATCTTGTAAGCAATCCTGCTGAACCTTCAACTGTAAACGTCGATGGTAACATTCCACGAAGGTCATCTATTGACATCGTTGAGTCACTGAATTTAAATATTTTCTTAAAGCAATCGTCATTATCTAACCATGCGATAGCTTTGAAGTTTTCATTCGAATATACATCTGCTTCATTAAATGTAAAACCTGACTTCTTTGCAGAGATGACTTTAAAATCTATTGAGTTTGTTTCAAAATTATATGCTATGCTAACTTCTGAAGGTAATGGGTGTCCTTCCGCAGTCAGTTGTTCTCTCACTACCGTTTGAAGCTTTGTGTTAAAAACTTTCATGTCATCTCCTGTGTCTAGGTTCACATACACAGCAACAGGAAAACTATCTTGCTTCTTTGTTTCATCATTATACCTCAAAACATTAAAGTTCTTCAATAATATTGTTCTTCCTGCTGGAATACTTCGAACCTGTCTTATTTCAATAGCTTTCTCACCTCCTACATACTCTACCCAGTGTCTTGGATATTCATAAGTATACTGACTTTCTTGAATTTTGGTAGGTTTCATCATAACATGTTCATAGTATATCTTTATACTCTTGTCAGTTAGACTCGGTGCTATGTTCTGAATATTTCTGACTTGCATTTTTAATGGAGATAAAATGAAGCATTTAATACATGACGTAGATGAAGACATGAATGAAACTACAGACAAACTTAACTCTTCTCTCATTCTTCCTTTCAGTAAGGACTATGAGTTCTGTTCAAATGGTGTTTATTTCTATTGTGGAAAGATGGGTTCAGGTAAGACATTTAACCTCATTCGTCATATACTCATAACAGAGCGTTTAGGAAACGACTCATATTATGACCAAATCATTATATCAGCAACTTCAGACTCTATGGACTCAACAGCGAAAACATTTATGTCAAAAGTTCAAGCCTCTGTCGTTAAAGTTCCAGACAGTGAACTCATTGAATTTCTTCAACGTTACATTCGACGTAAGAGGAAATATTATGCTATTGTAGAGTTCATACAGTCAGGAATGCAAAAGACTTCTGAGGAGATGGAAAGAATTATTGACAAACACCACTTACGTCAGTACTCAGGAGTTTACGATATGAAACGACTGACAAACTACATTCTATCAAAACTTTCAAAATACCCCTTCAAAAAGTATCCTTCAAACACTCTGCTCGTTTGTGACGACTTCGCTGGTAAAGGTTTAGTGTCAAAACCAGACTCACCATTAGCTAACATCATTACTAAAGTCAGACATTACCACTTAACTGTAGCAATACTTATGCAAACATGGAGGTTTTTAGCTTTAAACATAAAACGTCTCATAACTGACTTCGTTATCTTTCAAGGTTTCTCACGTTATGATATTGAACTCATTTGGAAACAGTCAGGTATAACATTACCTTTTGAAGAAATTTGGGAAGCATATAAGTCTCTCATCTCTCCTCGTTCATACCTTGAGATTCATATCATGACTAATACCATTAAAGTCAAAATATTCCATGGGAACGACCAACATTGTTTTAAAGTTTAACCTTCAATTGACTGATGGTAAACAAATTCCATGCATCTCTGTCGCCATTTCTGTTAATATTTTTGCTGTCATTCATATCATCCACTTCCCCATCCGTTAACTTTTGAGGATATGCGTTAGAATAGCTGTTCTTAAATGAAGGCTTTTCACCTTTGAGAGCATAAACTCTATAACTTTCTGCATACTTTATGTTTGAACCTCCTGAGCCATCATTGACATAAATTTTTATAGGCTTCCACCCTTTGTTCATGTTCCTGCTTCTTCCCTTAGCTCTTTTGTTCAGTAGTTCTACATCTTTATACACAGCACCTGTCTCAGTGAATTCAACAATATTTTCATTCGTTAGCTTTACATTCAAACCCTTGTCGAGTATATTGTTCATTTCATACATATAAAAGGTTTTTATTCTATATGAAATGAGAAGCAAATCCATCTTAGCTGGTGCCGTTAATGTTCCAATTGAACCAACATCAAATGTTGACTCACGAACGACAAACAATATTGTCATAAAGAACTATAGTTCAGAGTGTTTGAAAGAAAAAGAACCAGAACTGAAATCCGTGAATTTAAACTCAGCTTCAAACGCTAACGCTACATCAGATGTTAAGTTAGAGTATCCACCACTGGACCAAATTCTTTCAAGAGAAGCCAACGACAACCCTTACACAAATGTTCAAACAAATCCTTCAGATAACGTAGACCATTACCTTCTTCAGTTATACCAAACAATTTTACTCAAAGACGATAAGAAGCTTTTGACAAATCTTATAAGTAAGAACCAAATAATTCTAACAAAGGAGGACCTTGAAAATGTTATATCACGAATAACAGGGAAACAATGTGTCATTGACTATCTCGACCCTGAAATCGAATGCTGTGGTCAAACGCCACCATTCATGAAAATAGGTAACATCCGCATCATTGAAATACCAGGAACTACAGGAGTTGAGTTTAAGTATAAATATTCGAACGAGTATACAAAACTTTCAACAGAATATAAACTTTGTTTGAAATATGTTTTAGTAAATTAAAGCAATTTGTAATATCTGTCCAAAACTTCTTCAACAGTATCGAACTCATCTTCATAATGCAAACCTAATCTTATTGACTTGGTGCAGTTCTCACTAACACAATATAGCGCTTTGCGCTCGGCGCCTTTGACGCCTTTTTCTGTTCTCTTGACTGACATAACTAACTCATTTGTTTCATCAAACAGCAATAACCAAAGTTCATGACCTAATACATAACATTCATACTTTATATTTTTAGCTCTGAGTTCTCTTGTAAGCTGTTGCATTTAATATTTTCTAAAAAGTCAACTTCAACAGTCATTCGCACTGGTGCCTTCAGTTCTACAGGCTCTCCTTGAAAGTCAACAAGTCTGAATTGCATGTCTTTCAAATTATGAGGACTAATGCGAACCCATTTACCTAAATGAGTTGCTATGACAGGAACGTTTGGAATGAACATTGAATTGACTGCATAACAGAAGATTATATTCTACTGAACCTTTACTATTAACTCCTGAAATGCCTGTGACATTAGCTATTTTTGACTCAATGTATAAACAATTGCCATAACATACGTATGGAACAGATTTCATCTCAATCGTTTTGTCAATACTTTTCAAAGGAAATGTCATATGGTATGCTCCCAAAGAATTGAACTCTATGACTCATTCGTGTTATCTTAAACTCCTTCGCATAACTGAACTTCAAAACTCCTGCAATAAGTTTAACATTCATTAAGTTTTCTTCGTTATCCTTGTTTATTGTAGTATTTATGAGAGCATTTAACACTCCAGCTAATGTTTCCATCTTATATTCTACATTATTGTGAAATCTTATTTCGTGCTTCTTTCCATCTATTTCAAGCTCCATGAAATCTGTTTTCTGTTATAACGAATGAAGCGATAGTATTGAAGTCAACCATTCTGAATGCAAGTGGCTCATTCTGTAGACCTAAGTTTGTTTGTAGCTTTACTGTCCCGTATTCGTTTGGGTCTGTACTTTGCAAATAGAACAACATTTTATTCTCATTAAAATATGAGTATAGCTGCATATGCGTATGAAGCTGACAGAGCTAAACGTTTATATTTTGGTCAATACTCTCTCACACTTACTGACAAATATATTGTTATCTGATGGAAATACCGAGAAATACATAACATGGAAGGACTATGAAAAGTTTGACCCTATTTTAACTCCATGTACAATGCCATTCATTGTAAATGGTGAAGTTGTCATGAAGAACGACACAACAGTATATAAGTCTGTTCATGAAGCATTAGAATATATGTTGAATTATAATCCCGAAATTTGACCCAAGCACTACGCCATGTACAATGCCTTTTATTAAGGACGGTGAAATCGTAAGAGTTCCGGATTCAACGGTTTACACAGCTGTTCAAAACAGTTTACAAAACATTTTAGCGAATATCTTTAATTCAGAAACTACAGAAATAAAATTACCATATATAACAGATGCTAAAGAAATTAAATCAAAAACGACAACATTATTTACGTCACTTAATGATTTAATGACTTATATCATTAATATTCCTGCACCAACTACAGCATTTGATCCAAACTCGACGGTTTGCAGTGTACCTTTCATAAAGGACAGTTCAGTAATTGTTTTAAGGGATTCGACAGTTAATGAATCATTAAAGGCTCATTAATGAAAATCATTGATTTTAACTCATTCACGAATACATATAATTCATTCATTAATGTTTCATATGCTTCTAAAGAAGGTGAGCCAAAAACTATCGATAAAGCGGTGTATGAAATAAAAGCATCAACGACGAAATTGAATTCGTTAACTTTTGACGGTGATAGTTTCGTTAATGACATAACATCGGGGAAAACAATTTTAACGAAAGAATATTTAAAATCTCATGTTAGTGAGTTCGTTGAAATTGAAAAAGAAGGTGGAATTAAGTTCGATCCACTGAATTTCATTTTCAACTTAGCGAATGCGGGTGTTAGTTTCGCTGAATGGACAACTATACAGAGTGAAATAAATGCAATATGGACGTTTTTGGGGTCAAAAGCGGGAATGGGTGAGCTTGTAAATGCTGCAAGAACATTAGGTGAAACAGGAAATTTTGTAGATGGTTTTAAAAGACTTGTTTCAAATGTTTTAACAAACACAAAGAAATTATTTAGATATACCATACATAACGGACGGATTTTCGAACAGGTAGCAACAAACCCTCCGGTTATGGCTGCGTTGATGATGGTTAGAGATATAAAACCACGTAACGACGGGAACGAAGAACATGAACAACAGAGCCCAACGGGCTCAGAGCCACATAGTGGCGAGGATACTGGTCGGGTTATTCGAGACATTAAAAACGTGTATCCTGAAGTTATTGATTTATTTAGAGGAGTTAATGATTCAATTTCAAAACATTCTATAACCCTCGATGAAGAGAATAAATTAACAGATTATATATTCGTCATTATTGCAGAATTAATGAAGAGAATAAATGAAAAAGGAATTGGTGATATCATTAATGTCAGCGATGTAATGATGAAAAGAAATTTTGACTCATTATTTACAAAACCGAAAACAGAATATAGTCTTTATGACGTAATTACCGAATTAATGAAAAAGATTAATGATAATAAGAGTTCTGGCGGAAGAGTTGAATTAGAAGTGAATGATGTTAATGAGAAATTAGCCGAAAAAGCAGATAAAAACCACGTTCATTATATAACTTCAGACGAACAGATTATAACGGACTACCATGGATATTTAACACGAAGTGATGAAGTGAAGACGGAAGATGTTAATGAAAGAAGATATAAATACATTCGTGCTAAAGGTTATGACATAAGCTGTACTGTACAGTATGACACGGGTAAAGCACCAGAAGCATTTAGTTATAACGATGAAATTTATGCCTCTACTTTCTCTGTTAACGGTGTATTAGTTGAACCAAGATTTACTTTGAGAGTTAAGGCAAAAATAACGTTTGAAGATGCTATTAAAAGTAAAGCTGACAAAGTTGAACTTGACGCAATGAACAAAGTTTTGAAATCTCATAAACACAACATCTCCGATATAAATGAACTTCAAACTTCTTTAGACAGTAAAGCTGACAAGAACCATACACATAAATCCTTCACTACTGTTAGAGCAGACGACATAATATTGAACTTTGACCTTGGTTCAAGTGCACCATTAGAAAATCCAAGTACAAGCGTAAAAGATACTCTTAACAGTTTAGATAACAGTTGCAGGAACATTGAAAGTCATGCCAGAAACTTTGAAGCACATGAACTACCAGCAATGTTAGATAAGAAAGCCGACAAGAACCATACACATACAAGTTTTACAACTGTTGGTATAGAAAGTATTGAAGGAACGGTTGAAGAAACTGGTGGGGATGCATTATATTGTAAACCTCCTAACTTTCCACAAGGTTTAACATCGGATGACGACATAACGACGATGAGAAACATTAGATGTAAAGATGTTTATGTCATGAAGGATGAACATAATATTAAATTCACTGCTCAAGATTTATATGATAAGAAAGCTGACAAGAACCATACACATAAATCCTTCACTACTGTTAGAGCAGACGACATAATATTGAACTTTGACCTTGGTTCAAGTGCACCTTTAGTGAATCCGAGTACAAGCGTAAAAGATACACTAAACTCCTTAAATAACAAATGTATGAATATCGAAGGTCATGTCAGAAACTTTGAAACCCATGAACTACCAGCAATGTTAGATAAAAAAGCTGACAAAACAGAGCTTCAAACATTAAAGACAGAAATACTTCAAACATTATATCCTATAGGCTCTATTTATACGTCAATGAACTCAACAAATCCAGCAACAGTTTTAGGTTTTGGTACATGGAAGCAGATTGTAGACAAATTCTTATACTGTGCTAGATATTCAAAGCAAACAGGAGGTTCGAAGAAAATTAAAGAAGCAAACCTTCCACCGCACACTCATACAGGAACTACAAACACAACAGGTAGTCATTCACATTCAATAACAAAAAGAGGTTATACAAATCTTGCAGCAGGTTCGGATAGACAGGGAATGCATAGATATGATATTTCAAGTGACCCAGTAGATTCAAGCGCAGGTATTTTCTGTGGAACCGCAGGAAATCATGCCCATACTTTCACAACAAATCCAACAGGCTCGGGTGAAGATTACATGCCACCATTTATGACTGTATTCGCATGGTATAGAGTTCAATGAACGCGCTTGAGCCTAGAATAAAATCTTTAACTTTACATAAATGAGCTTGAAAGAAGTATTCGAACAACATCCATGGAGGTCTTTTAAGAAATTCAATGAAGCTGCAAAGAGTTGGGGATTTACTAACAGAGCTGAAGTGAAAAGGTTCTTTGACAAAAATGTTGTACATCAAACAAAAATAAATCCTTACGACTACTTTTTACCAATTTACTCCAACACTCCTGACGCATACCAATTTGACACTCTCATTCAAAGCAGAAAAGGAGGACATAAACCATTCCTCATCTTCATAAATGTTAACACTCGCAAAGCTTTTGCGTATATAATGAGAAATAAAGGAACTCATGAAGTGTTAAGAGTTTTACAAAAGTTTGTAGCAGAACATAGCCCAAGTACTTTAACATCAGACCAAGACAGTGCATACCTCAGCAATGAAATCACAGAATTTCTCATTAAGCATAACATAACTCACTACACTACTGAAGACCATAACCATAACATACTCGGTATCATTAACCGCTTCATAAGGACTCTCAGAGATTTAAATCAAGAGCGAGACTTTACCGAAGAAACAATGAAACATTTCATCGAAGTTTACAATTCCTCAACACATTCTACAACAGGGCATACACCAAATTCAATGACACAACAACAAGAAGAAAAGTATATACAAAAGAAACGAAGCCAAACACAAAATATCAGAAATTCAACACAATTTACTCTCATTCCTGGTACAAAAGTTCGTGTAGTTCTTGACGACAAACCATTGACAAAGAAACGTTTAAGGTTAAGTCGAAATTATTATATCGTAGACTCTACGCAAGGTAATGGATATCTTATAAAAGCTGCCGACGACTCTATTGCGTTTTATCCTCGACATAAATTAGTCGAAAGTAGTAATGGCAAACTTGCTGAAACCATTGACGAAGCAAAGCGAGGAGTGGTTATTGAAATACTTGACTATAACACAAACGATGACACTTATAAAGTAAGATATGAAGGAGGCGTTGAAGATGTTATACCATCTAAGAACTTGAGAGAATCTAAACCAACTCATCTGGGACCATTAGAGCGGGAGTACTGGAAAGATAAAAACATGCCAGAAAGAATAAGAAAATTCTTCTAAACTTTTTCGTTGGATGTAAATCAGACATGAATGAGAACAATCATGGAATTATTAATGTTTTCATAAATTTACACCAAAAATATAATTTAGGTGAAGAGACCCAAAGGGTCAGAGCCGCAAAGCGGCTAGGTGAGATTTCACCTGTTTTTTCACCTCTTTTCTCACCTCTTGAATTTTCATGAATTTTCACAAAAGACCAAAAATAATGTTAGTTTTATTTTTATTTATTTTTTTATTTTGTATGTAAGAACAGAAATGTCAGTCGAAGCAAAAACATTCACGAACAAATCTAATGGTGAAACATTCACAAAAGGCACTTATAACGGTATTGAAGTCTTACGTAGAGACAAGGATGGTTACATTAATGCAACAAAGATGGCAAGAGAAGCGGGAAGGTTAAACCATTTAAACAGATTTCTCAATAGTACTAAAATGCAGGAAATTCTTGAGTTTTGGTTGAACGAATACGGTGGAGCCAAAAGTGGCTCGACCTCAAAACAAGCATTTTATGAGCTTACAAAGGGTGTCATGAATGAATTCAAAGGTATTTACATACATCCTGACCTCGTTCATTTTGTTGCTGAATGGTGCTCTGTAAAGTATGCATTTTATGTCAAAGATATTATGGACTCCATAGACAAGAAAGTTCATGAGAAGTTAGATGAAGAAGAACTCGAAGATACAGTGGAGAATGCTAAACATTTGTTCGAAGAAGAAGTTGGAAAAATGTGCGAAAAACAATTAGAACATGAACGTGAGATATATTATGGTTATAGAGATTCTCCATACGAACTAGACCAATGGGAACAAGAAGATTTAAAGAGAGAATTTAGAGAATATGAACTCGCTAAGATAGCATTTGAAGCTGCAGAAAAGAAGTTAAAAGTTTGGGGTCGTTTTGTAAAAAAATATTGTGAGTAAATGAACCATTTATTTTTATTGAATTCACCAAAAATATAATTTAGGTGAAGAGACCCAAAGGGTCAGAGCCGCAAAGCGGCTAGGTGAGATTTCACCTGTTTTTTCACCTCTTTTCTCACCTGTTTTTTCACAAGCGTTTTACATGAATTGTACGATGTATATTTGAAATCCTAAACAATTTCGTAGCTTCTATTTCTTCTGTCAGTATGTCAAAAGTTTTAACAATGCCGAAAGTTTCTTTATATTTCTTCTTGACGTCAGATAGAAGGAAATCGTCAGCAGTTGGATAGTTTTTGTTCAGAAATGCTAACATGTCCATTTTATTTTCTGCTGGCTTTTCTGCTTCTTTCTTTAAGTCTGCATAGTCGTTTCGCATTCTTTCTATCTCTTTGACGGAGTAGTTATATTTCCTAATTGCTGCTTTACATTTAGAACATTGCGGATTCATTTTTGCGTTATATTCTGAAACCTTACCTGCTAAAACAACTAAGGCGTCAATGGTTTTCTTTAACTCAAAAGCAGTTGGTCTTATCTGTTCGTTCCATATTTTACCTCTTCTATCTTTATCTCTTATCTGCCATACACATTCAGCAACTAACGAAACAAAGTTATCGTAGGTCTTAAACTCCCCGGATTTATATATGTCAGAAACATTCTTATATACCATGTCGCAATCTTTGTCCATAACCTTATGGTTGCAATGAAATCCTAGAAACTCATAGTTTACCTTTCGAATGAACTTCTTTATTTCTACTGAGTCAGTTGCTTTGACTTCTATTTCGTCGAATTCAGGAATAGTTAGTTTTTGATGCTGAATTTCAGGTAGTTTAGGTAAATGGTCAATAATGTCCTGCATTTCATAAAGATACTGTTCATTTGTTTCATCTTTCGCACTACAGTCTAAATTACTTGTTAAAAGTTCTTGCTTTATCTTCTGGATTTTTTGTTTCGAAAGTATATGAAGAAGGAATGAAGCTTTTCATCTCTACTAACATAGATGTTGGATTCATGACTAACGAGTTTGGTGAAGTTGTTGTGGACAGAGTCCCGCCGTTCGCGGCTTGAATTGTTGTTGTGCCGATTGTTGAAATCATATCTTTACATACAAAATAAAAAAATAAATAAAAATAAAACTAACGTTATTTTTCTATCTTAAGGAAATTCATGAAAATTCAAGAGGTGAGAAATTAGGTGAAAAAACAGGTGAAATCTCACCTCTTCACCTATAATATATTTTTGGGTCCTTTACACTCATTTACGAAGAAGTTATGACAAATCATAAACGAAGAAGTTATGACAAAGCATTTACGAAGAAGTTATGACAAAGTCACGAGGGTGAAAAAAGAGGTGAGAAAACAGGTGACATCTCACCTAGCCGCTTTGCGGCTCTGACCCTTTGGGTCTCTTCACCTAAATTATATTTTAGGTCAAAGCTTCCACGAGAGAAAAGATTCCTCATTCGCTAAGGATTCCAAAAATGAAAAAAATCATTGATTTCGGCTGAGAAAAAACAGCAAAACCCTTCTTCCACGGGAACAAAGAAATAAAGAAGAAATAAAGTAAATTTTTTATTTATTCCCGTGGAAGATAGAGCACTTTTATGATACTTTTTATTCACGACAAACAAGACAAATAAAGAAAATAAGAAAATACGGCGCTGTCGCGGTTCGAACCACAGACCTTGACCCCTCCATAACACCACCTTAGACCACTGTGCTACGTAGCCTGTCGACATAAGATTTTATAAATTGCATATTTGACGTAAATTTATTTCCATCTGGCTTCCCACTGCATAAGATATTCATACGTGTTTGAAGTAGATGAGATAGATAAAGCTATAAAATTATTTGACGAAGTTGCTGAAAAATACATGTAAAGCGTTTATTTTTGGTCTTTTGTGAAAGTCAGAAAAAATAAAGTTAGTTTTTATTTTATTTATTTTTTTATCCTGTATGTAAGAACAGTAATGTCAACATTAGAGAACACAACAACTGCTATCGTTCATGAAGCCATAAATGAAGAATACGAATACATACAATATAACAAACAATTGAGACTCATTCGTTCAGTCAAAGATGACATGTACCAAATGCAAAGTATAATGAACGCTCTTCGTTCTACAAAGCAAGCATATCATTGGTTTGAAAACCAACAGGCAAAAGAACTTTTAGAAGAATTTCCTCATATGTTTGCTTCCTCGGAAAACCGAGGAAGAGATTCCGTACGAAAAATCGCAAGAATTTGGCACCTGGTTTGAAAGGTTATTATGTTCATAGACTTTTAGTAAATGCTGTAGCAATGTGGGCTTCACCTCGTTATGCTTGTTATATTTTCATGATGTTAGATGAACTATATAAAGCAGAACGTGGAGAGATGGAAAAGAAACTTCAAGCAAAAGATGAAGTCATTGAATCCAAAGACAAAGCATACAGAAAGAATACCACGTTCAGTACCAAAAGGAAAGGAAAAGAGTTATAAGTATATGATTTATACTGAAGAGTTGGAGAAAGAAGAAGATAGAGATATGGTTATGTTGCATTTAGTCAGAAGAAACAACAAAAGCTTTTACGACCTTGCTAAAATATATAAATCTGACAGAAACTGGTTCTATCGTGAAAACTTACCGATTTCAATGACACCGAATGAGCAAATAAAAGAAATTGTCAAAAATACTCTTCCTCAAACACACTATGACATCAAAGGTTGCACAATACTTACCTTCAAAGAAGACTTAACATTACTGAAGGAAAAAATAACAGAATATTTCGATAACTTCAAAGAGGAAGAATGAAGTCACGACAACATTAACGAAGAAGTCACGACAACATTAACGAAGAGAGAATGAGGTGAAAAAACAGGTGAAATCTCACCTAGCCGCTTTGCGGCTCTGACCCTTTGGGTCTCTTCACCAAAAATATATTTTTGCTTAAATAGCTTCAGGGTCAATTTCTTCAACCATTTCACTTCCTTCGTCAATGTCAATTGAAGCTTCTTCAACCTTTGGTAAGAATTTCTGTATAACATCTTTGTTCGTTATTGTCTTCAGAGATGAAGGATAATATTTCACATTTGTTTCACCCTTCTTATATTCTTTCTGTTCGGAAAGATTTAAAGCAATACTGAAGAAGTCAATGTTGGAGTTCTTTATGACAGTATAGTGTGTATCTTTGACATTCACGAAGAAACCCTTTTGTTTCAAAACTACTGCTAACTCTTGTGAAGTATAACGTTTGCGGTCAATGACGATAGCTAATGGTCTGACATACTGACCAAACTTAGATTCTTTCACAAACTTCTTGTTAAAGATAACATTAACGTTTGAAGCATTATTGAACTCATTCTTGATGGCAGTAGCGAGAGCATTGTATGAAAAGAACTTGCAATCTTGCATGTGTTTCATTAAAATAAAAATATTAAATTATTTTGAAAAATAACTTAAAAAAAATCTAATCTAATTTTTTCAAAAAATATTTTTTTTATTTCCTACTAAAGATGTATCGGAAGTTGTCTAAGTTAGAACACTCGGAAATAAAACAACTTCTTACAGAAGCTAATATAGATGTTGCAAAGCATTACGCAACAAACAAAAAAGCACTCGCTGACTTCATTAAAGACTATAATGGTGCAATAAGTTATGATAGAATTCATGAGTTCATAAAGCCGCAACGCGGCGAGGACGAAGTCCATGCAAGAGCATTTCCTTTAAATGACGTTGCTATTGACTTATATCATAGACGTTCAGTACCTCATGAAGTAAGAAGAGAGATGTTTGACATAACAAATGCGAACGTTGGTGAAACAAGAAGAAGAGACGACACACTGAAACAACAGAGAAGAGAGATGTTTAAAAGTGCTATAGAACAAGTTCGCAAAGCTAACGATGTCATTCGTTCCATTGACGACAAACCAAAAGAAGGTGAGAGATGGTTAAAGAAAGATGAAGAGAATAGGAAGAGAAATGTGAAGTCAGGCAATAGACTCATTGACTTTAACATCGAAGCTTTAGATGAACCAAACAGAGACTACTTACACAAACATTTCGGTAAGGTTTTCATGAGACTCTTAGAGAAAATTAAAATAAACTCCCAACAGAGATGGATGGTATGTTATAAACTTGGTGGAAAGTATGAATGTTCTACGTTAAACCTCAATAATATTGGAACATTACTACATCAGCTCTTGAAGGAGAACTTTATATCAGAGATAGAAGCAAATGCTGCAGGTATTGTTGAAATGCACTATGACTTCTTCTTGACAAACATAAAGAATCTTACCGAAATAAAGATGTATGATTTAACAGAATATGAAGGCTTAACGATGTCAGATGTAAAGAAAGGCAAACCAAAAAAGAGACCATATAGAGATGAAAGCACACTGACAAATGACCAGAAAGCCATTTTGGAAGCTCTTAAGCAAACAGGAAACCCAGCACTTATAGAAAGCTTTTGGAAAGATAATGGTGAAAAGAAGTTTTATAAGAAGAGAAGCGGTCAGTTCTGGAAGTATCTTTGCACATTACCTATAAATCTTGAACGCTACCAAATCTTCAATGAACTGAACAAAAGAACTGCAACACTTATGACAGAGGACAATTGTTTCGTTTATGCTTGCATTCAGGCTGGAGTAAATGAAGAAACTATTGACCACATGAGAGAAGTCATTCGTGTTAGAGACTTTCCTCAAAGTAAAGTACAAGAAATTTCCGATTCAACAGGTATAGCATTTAATGTTACCATTGGTTATTTCAATGACTCAAGACATAATGAAATAAAGAGATATATACCAAAAGAATGCGAAACTGTTAGAACTATTGACTTACTTCTTGTTGAAGACCACTACATGCTAAATGAAAGATTACCAATGACAACATACTTCATTCGAAACTATATAGAAATCTTGAAGGAGTGTGGTGGAATGAACATTGAGAAACAGATGAAGATTTATACAAAGAGAGAAGATAAATATGTAGTTCGTTATGATAGAACAACACCGCTATGGGATGTTATGAAAACATTGTGGGAGTGCAAATATTTCGAACCTATTTCTTATGGAGAACTTTTCACATATACTACTGACTTATATAAACAGAACCTTGCACCATTTAAAGATTTGACATATGCTCCAAAGTATTGTGTACAACTGAAGAAGAAAGCAGAGTCAAAAGAAGTAAATAAAGCTAAATGTAAATTCATTCCTGAGCACGTTTTCTTTGCTGACTTTGAGTGTAGCACAGACGGCTTTCATAAAGCTTTTAACATCTGTTATGACAGTGAAGATGGTTCAGTGAGTGAAAGCATTTGGGGTCAAAACTGTGCAACAGAATTTTTGGAAAGACTTCCTGACAAGAGTTTAATATATTTCCACAACCTCAGTTATGACATAAACTTCATCTTAAGACACATGACAGAAGTGAAAGGAACTCCCATCATTAAAGGTTCACGAACAATGCAAATAACTGGTTTATATAAAGGACGGGCAATTATTATAAAAGACTCTTACAGTGTTATAAATAAGAAGCTTAAACTATTTCCTGCTATGTTTAACTTACAAACAGGACCGAAAGAAGTATTTCCATATAACTACTACAGCAGTGTTTTGTTAGCAAATGACAACAGAACTGGTGTCATTTCTGAAGCATGTAAGTTTATCCATGAT